TTCTTTCTTTCTTTCTTTCTTTCTTTCTTTCTTTCTTTCTTTCTTTCTTTCTTTCTTCTTTCCTTCTTTCTTTCTTTCTTTTTTCTTTCTTTCTTCTTTTTCTTTCTTTCTGTTTCCTCTTTCTTCCTCCCTCCCCCCACTCTGTCTCTCTGTCTCTCTCTCTCTCTCTCTCTCTGTCTCTCTCTCTCTCTCTTTCTCTCTCATAGACAGAGTCTTGCTCTTGTTGCCCAGGCTGGAGTGCAATGGTGCGATCTTGGCTTGCCACAACCTCTGCCTTCCAGGTTCAATCAATTCTCCTGTCTCAGCCTCCTGAGTAGGTATGATTACAGGTGTGTGCCATCACATTGGGCTAATTTTGTATTTTTAGTAGGTGGGGTTTCTCCATGTTGGCTAGGCTGGTCTTGAACTCCCGACCTGAGATGATCTGCCCACCTTGGCCTCCCAAAGTGCTGGGATTGCAGTTGTGAGCCGCCATGCCTAGCCTGGCAATGGGCGTTTCAGAAGGCTCAGATCATGGCTGGGGGGATGAAAGGAAGGGGCTGAATTTGGAGACAATTCTTCCTCCATTGAGATAAAGCTTTCCAGGTGAGCATTGCACATACGCTGTCACTTAGCAAGTTGATCCAACCAAGCAACCCAGAGTGACAAAGCCACAAAGCCAGGACCAATTCAAGTCCAAATCTCTCCAGACTTTTCACCATTATCACCCCACTATGTTGCCAGCAAAGTCAGCACTCCAACAAATCAAAAATGACTTGGAACAGGGCATTCCCTCACCTCCCACTATGCTGTGAGCCCCCATGAGCAGGCACTATCTCCATTTGCCTGGCATTTCCCCCAGGGTAGATATTCCATCAATATATACTTATATAAGTTAAATGCTCAGAAAGTTGATTTTGATAAGATTTGATACGCTGTTCACTACAAAGAAATTAGACTCTATATCTTAAAGGTATCTATGGAAATGTGTGAGAACAATGGTTACACAGAAAAATAGAATAAAACCAGCCTTTGGGTCTGCAGAATATTTCATTGTCAGAAAGTGTTTGTGTCACTCCCTGGGAATCAGTTCACAGCAATTTTGAAGACTGACCAGGGTTGGGTGTTGTCATTTCACTTTCTGTGACTTTAATAGGTGTGATTTTGGAAGCACCTGTGGATAATTCAGTAATTCTGATGCTGGTACAATAGAATGTGATACATCAATGTACAATGCAGTAGAACACTGACAAATTGCCTCCAGGTACATCTCTTTGTTTCTTCAGGGCTTGAGGCCATGACTTGTTTATTGGTTAAGGCTCCTGCTCCTAGCACAGTGCTGAACACATACCAGGTGCTCTGTACATGTCTGCAAGATTGATGAAAGAACAAATAATTAGGATGCCAGGGAATTCATGGTACATTGATATCAGAACCTCTTTCACTGGGCCATCAGACCAAGCCCTATGCAACCATGAGAATGCTGGATGGCTGCATTGTGCACAGGTGTCTTCACTCCCATTGTATCCCTTGATCTTCACAACCAGAGAAGGTGGTAAAGCGCAGTGGGCTGGAGCTTGGGTTTTGGTATTAGTAAGAAAGGTTTAAGTCCTGTCTCACCTAAATCTTTCTGGAATTGAGTTATCTCACCTGTCAAGTGATGATAGTAAGAGCTTACTTCTGGGGGTGTTTGTGAGCATGAAATGAACTACCGAATGCAAAACCTTAGTATAGGTCTTACACACGAGGGGCACTCAATAAGTGTGAGATGCTATAATAATAATAATCAAAACTCCTCTGCATTATATTCCCCATTTTATGAGTTAGCTGAAACTCAGAGGAGGAGAGTGACATACACAAGGTTTCTTAGCAAGAAGTGATGGTGATGAAGAAGATGATGATGGTAATGATGATGATGATGGTGCTTCTGCAGCTGCTGGTGCTGATGACAGTAACTGTGGCAGGCATTGTAAAGGCACTTTACAAGATCTCTACAAGGAGGACTACAAACCACTGCTCAAGGAAATCATAGATGACACACCAGTGGAGAAACATTCCATGTTCATGATTAAAACAAGTTAATATTGTTAAAATGGCCATGCTGCCCAGAACAATTTATGAATTCAATGCTATTCCCATTAAACTACCATTGACATTCTTCACAGAGCTTGAAAAAACTATTTTAAAATTCATATGGAACAAAAATAGAGCCCAAATAACCAAGGCAATGCTAAGCGAAAAGAACAAAGCTGGGGACATCACACTGCCTGACTTCAAACTATAGTACAGGGTTACAGTAACCAACCAGCATGGTATTGGTATAAAAACAGATACACATACCAATGGAGCAGAATAGAGAGCATGGAAATAAGACTGTGCACCTACAACTATCTGATCTTTGGCACCCCCGACAAAAACAAGCAATGGGGATCTCTAGTCAATAAACAT